CTGCCTGCCTGATCACCCCTAACCACTCTGCCTGCCTGCCTGATCGCCCCCAACCACTCTGCCTGCCTGCCTGATGCCCCTAACTGCTCACTAGCCTGCCTGATCACCCCTAACCATTCTGCCTGCCTGCCTGACCCCCCTAACTGCTTGCTTGCCTGTCTGATCGCCCCTAACAATTCACCTGCCTGCCTGATCATCCCTAATCACTTGCCTACCTGCCTGATTGCCCCTAACCAACTCTGCCTCAGCTCCCACTGCCACAGCTTCATCTGGAAGGACGTCTGGAAGGACATCCAGAAGGTAGTTTGGTTGTCTGGTCTAATTTGCATATTCAACTTTTATTATTATTCTTATAGATTGTCACCTAAGTTGCTTCCATATCTTGGCTATTGTAAATAATGCTGCATTGAACACAGCATTGTGGAATTGTTGAGTCATATGGTAATTCAATTTATTAAATTTATTTCTAAGTATTTTATTCTTTATGATTCAATTGTAAATAGAATTTTCTTAATTTCTCTTTCTGATATATCATTTTTACTGTGTAAAGACAAATAATTTCTGAATATTAATTTTGTATCCTGTATTTTACTGAATTTACTTATTAGTTGTAATAGTTTTTGTGGAATCTTTAGGGTTTTTTAATATAATACCATGTCACCTGTAAATAGTGACGGTCTTACCTCTTCTTTTTCAATCTGATGCCTTTTATTTCTTTTTCCTTTCTGATATTATGGCTAGTACACCAATATCACATTGATTACAAATAATGAGAGTGGGCATAATTATCTAGTTCCTAATCTTAAAGAAAAAGCTTTTAGCTTTTCATTCTTGAGTATCATGTTAGCAGTGGGTTTGTTGTACATGACCTTTACTATATTGAGGTATATTTTCTTTATTCCCACTTTGCTGAGTGTTTTTATCATAGAGTTGTATTTTATCAAATGCGTTTTCTGCATCTATTGATATGACCATATAATTTTAATCTTTTGTTTTGTTTGTGGTATATTATGTTAATTGATTAGTGGATATTAAACCAACCTTGCATCCTGGAATAAATCCCACTTGATCATGACCTTGATAATGCACTACTACATTTTGTTTGCTAATATTCTGTTGAGGAATTTTGCATTTACAT